CGATGTTTACCCCTCAGCATGATGATAACGAACACTACCTAGCAGGCATCTATCATCAAGTACGTAGAGACAAAGACTTCATAGAGTTATCAGAGCTGATATTTTGAACCCACTTAATATAATTCATTCCATACATCAAAAATATTTTATACATACCTAGGTAGGTAGGTAGGTATTAATAGGTCTGGATCCACACGAAGTATAGTATAACTCCGAGGGCTCGGCTCTCATCGCAGGTCAACCCCTGAGGTAACTCGGACATCCTCGGAGATTCGCCTGATGTCACTAGGTTAGAACTATTCTTATTACAGCATCGACATCGCATAGACCAAAAACAGGCACCGCGTTGTTTCAACGCATCCATCGCCAAAGGCCCCCATCGCCAACCCCAAGCTAATTTAGACGATGGTAATTTGCAATGGAACTTTTTCAAATGGAACTTTTTCAACTTCGATACCGCCGACGCCCCGGAATTTACTATATCGGGCCATGGCCTCTCCGGCGATGTACCGGTGGAGGTTTTGTATATAGTTACCTCATACGTAAAATAGCCATGGCGCTAGCCTCGTGGCCTAGGAAAGGAGTGGAATATCCTCTAGCTACAGGGGCTGGGACCGGGACTGGGACTGGGACCGGGACTGGGACTGGGACTGGGACTGGGACTGGGACTGGGACTGGGGCTCTTTGGATATCTCAGGTTTAAGGCGACGAAATGAAGCGGGCTAGTATTTGAGAATTTGTGTTTATTTCGAACCGGTGCTAATGTTGAACTAGCGGGCCGTGTGCTCTATCTACCCCCAGGATACACGTAGTAATTACAAGCCTACCTCATAGCGTTCTATGTAATAGATGGCATGTACTCGTGTGGTACCCCGTCGGCTCCTTTTGTTTTTGCCTTTACCGATTGCATAGATGGATGCCCTTGTTATTCATTGTTCTATTGTTTCATCGCGGACGTAATTTCTACTTCTTCGTATGCATGTCTACACGGAGAAAGCCGTATTCCCGAGAGGAGTAGTTGTCGCGGAGGCCCGCGGGTAAAACGGAGTACATAGGGCGTTGCTATGTAGATTAAGAGGTAAACAAGTCTTTCATTCCAAGTATCCCATTACTACGTATTCACATACCTACTAATTACCTAGGTACCTATCTTTGTAAGTATTCTAAATCTACAGATCGACATGCGGTATGCAGGTAAGACGATATACCACTCAAAAGGTGTAAATCGGTAAAATAAAATTGTATACTATTTCAGGGTGACATTCAACTTAATAGTATGTCATCATAAGAGGGTATTTCCCGCCCGTCGAAACCCGCCCAAACTACGGATTACTAGTATACCACCTATAGCTCATAATCCCTCGAATAAGCTGTCTGACGCTCAACTACGTACTGGGCCTGTAGAATCCCTCGTATACACATCATATACCTTAGGTATCTACCTAATAAGCCGTTCAATATGCCGCCGCTGAACAGATACCAGCAGCGAAGAACCTTGCCTATTCCCTGAAACATTTTTGGACCCCATCGCGGATCGGTCAGGGTTGACACGTGTACTTCATACTACTCACCGTTACATAGCGCAGCTTGTGGTCCCTCCCTCCCCCCCCCCCCCCTTTACCCCGGCCCCGTTTCTTCTTAGGAACTTTTGAGTGGCCCTATCATACTTGACGTCCGTGCCTCCTAATCCAGAGCTGACATTGGCCCATCTAATGCAACTCGACCCAGTTCATGCGGGTCGAGTACCGGTTTTGCATTATGTACATACACGATCTTCCCAAGTACATGGATGGCATATGTTAGGTATGTAGGTATGTATGTACAATACAAAGAATCCCTGCCCGTTCAAGGCGTGAGTTAGATTACCAAATCCTTGCGTATATCGTGGCTGGGCCTTGTCGCCATAGTGTATGTAAGTGCCTATGTCTGTGTCTAACCTAGTGTATTATATGTATATGTCTGTATGTATGCCATCGTCGCAAATAGTTACTAGTATGTAAGTACGACTATGTCGTAGTATAGAGGTTATAGCAACGCGTGCCGCCTTTCCCCTCTTGACCGCCATCGTGCAGTCTCATGTCAGCCAGCGTATGTAAGCTCTAAGACCTCGGATCCAAGCTGTCGGGTTAACGTGCAGCCAATGCTGAAAAGAAAAATTCTTCATCGGCAGTTGGCCACTTTTCAGTCGTCGTCCAGTTTGGAACAGGATTTTTAGCTCATACCTTCTGAAAGCGACGCTGACGAAGAGTTCCACTTATGAACTACCCAGACAAAATGTGCGAGATGCAACAGTAGCGGGAGACGGTGTCGCATATGTAGAGGCCAGGGTCGAAGCATGAAGAGTCTGCCCTACGCGGACAACTTCCATCCTAAGCTTAATAGGTGGGTAAAAAATACACGTGTTATGCCTGTAAGCCCTCAGATCACCGTTGGGATCATGCTCTGTCATTCCGTCAGATGCCGCTCGCCGCTAGACTAAGTTCTGCATAGTATGATAGTCATGTTACAGCCTGTCTTAAACAATCTCAACGTTGCTGTCGACCGCCCTCAATATGAGGTATACCTAGTATGTATGTATGCAATGTACATATTCTACCTACCTACCGTACCAGGTATCCATCGCCCTATGAACCACAGAATGGTTCTCTCTGGATTGCTACTCTGACTTCTTTACCCTCCAACGTCGTATGGATACTGGGGGGGTACGCAGCAATAAGTCGTGTTGTATTAAAGTCATCTTAATTCGAGAAGATGTCAATAATAACTAAACGCTAGGAGTCAGAAGAATGTGGATCTTGGAGAGAATACATATTATGCGATGAGATTGATACAGTATGTACATCATAGAGGTAACATGGTATTTAACTAGGGTAAGCAAGTATAGTAGGTACAATACATCCTAATACATACGTAGACTATCGTTTCGTTTGCGCTGCATCATCCATCGGGGCCGGTGAGAATTGCTCTAATTTACCAAAAACGCGGCTCATACATAGACTACTTTCTCCAAGACTACCTACCACACACCTCGACCGTAGCAGCCATGGGATGAACCCGGTTGTAGATGAAGTCTGGTTATTGCATTAGACTAGGTTAAGGGCAATCTTTACTATGTAGAAAAGGGGGGTGACGCTAACAGAAAAACCCTCCCACTCTGTCTCTTACACATCGATACATCATCATGCCTCCGCATCTAATCTTCTCTCATTCCTAACTACGATATTGGGAATGTCTAGTACGGGATACCCTAGGTAGGTACAGCCTCGCCAAGGTTCTGAGGATATGCTACAGTGGTCGTAGTTGTATAATCTCCCCGTAGGCTCAAACAAATCCAAGGCAAGGTTGTTTAATCTTTGCATCTCGGCGCTATCGCTATCTCCGTTACAAACGAAGCCGAACCGCGACCATTATATAATCCAGACTTCGAGACATTTCCGCGTCATGGTCTCTTGGCAAAATGGAGGATAGTAGCAGTGACAATTTAGACGTTTCAACCACCTGCTACATTAGGAGTGGACTATGGTACTATATCTTCGGAACATTCCATACTGATCGCTTAGAAGCCAATTATCGATCGCGTCGATACTCCCACATGGCTTAGGAGATGGTGGCGACTAGGAGAAATAGCCCTATCGTTCATCGTGAACGCGCCCGTCGGTCAAGTTACAGGAAACTCGCACTCGCTTCCAAAATGGATACCCACCTTACACGTAACTTCGTCAATTACATACATAGTACATATAGTATATAGGCCATCTCTACATGGAAACTGTGCCTCTTAACTCTACTACGTATTTTCGTCAGCGCCGAGCTAGATCCCTAGCACCGGCATATTTGCTCCCGGATCTAGAACGTAAGCAGGGTGGAGAGCAGGATCTAAGCGGGCATAATTCCCACGTGGCTCGGTTAGGTCCCACTCGAGGGGAGACGGTAAGACGTTTACAGCATGGGTAGGGGAGGAAGGGGGGCCTGCGGGCTTCCGGACCTCGTGGTCTGGTGGTGGCGGAAACTACACTACCCCTAAGGTAGCGCTGCTGTCTCAACACCAACCAAGACTAGACCCCGGTGCGGAAGTGCGGTAGAAGACGAAGCGCGACATACATGAAAGAAAGAAAGAAAGGACCCTTGATAACTAGGTAAAATTAGAAACGGGCGCAGTGCGCCTCTTTAGGGTTCTGGTTGTCTCTCCAGCCTCTCTTCCCCGCGGCTGGTGTCGATGCCCGCTTCCCTTGCACCAACAACAGATTTCCAATCTCCCCCCGGCTCCCGTACATGCTCCCAGCTTACTAATGTATGCAGTGGCGGTTCCGCTACCTAGGTGGCCAGATAGAGAGAGCAGATCAGACGGCACAGCAGTTGTTTATAGCAAGTGGATAAATTTAGGCTCTTCTACTGCCTAGCCACCCGGAGGACGAGCGCTATTCACGGGCACGGCAGTCCGCATCGGTTGTTATATTGCCCGAGGGAGGCCAGAGACCGAGTAAAACCGAGGTGCCGTACTCATATCTGCTCGACCGGGGTGGTGAAGATCATCATCCCATCAAGGAGGAACTTTCCATGTCATCTAAGCTTCTACATAGCTTAGATACGTAAATAGGTAGTGCTACGCGATCGATGGTGGTGGTCAGACACATCCAGATGGACAAATCAAGGTAGTATGATATAACTGCTAGTCTAAACACCAAGCATACCCCCTTGTCTCTCATCAGACACCATTTCTTCAGGCCTTGTACACCCTATCAACCAGACTTCAACACTCATACCCAGCTTCTACCAATATACAAGCTATCCGTTGTTTCTTCACAGTTCACAGAAGTGCCTCGTAGACGTATGTAGACTTAATCACTGTAGAATTGCCGAAAATTCGATTGGTATAATATAAAGCAACACAACTGTGAATATGGCCTTAACGAAAGGAAGGCCGCGAAGCTCGTGATATGTACCTTAATGATCGAAGCAATAATACACCCCAACGCCTCGGCCAAATTATCCGCATAGGCCTCGTTAGAGCCCCCCCGACGACGCACAAGAGTCAAAAAAAAAAAAAAAAAACCAAAAGGCCCTGCCCAAAATCCCTAGCGTAATCAAACGCCATATTACCCTTCCATAGTGACGCTGATGAACCCCACGCACCGACTCCAAATACTCGTTATATTATGGCTTTGAAGCATCGTCTAGGAATGTGTAAGCAATTGTTGAGCTTTTCTGAGTAGACATGAAAAATGTAGGTTTTTTTTTGGTTGGTAAAAGTTGGACAGAGTAGGGGGGGAGGTGCTGTCCGATAGATATTTATCAATGACTGTCGACCATTGGGACGGCACCGTATACATGATCATCCCTCCTCGAGAGTATCTGCTCGCACGCCTGTTTGGCTACTCGTTCACTTCGACTCTCGCCGGGGTCTCCATCGGCGCTTCCCTTAGGGGGCAATGTGTTCGGGTGTTCCAAGATGCCATTCATAGCACCTGGATCTGAAGATTCGGGGTCCGGCTTACAGTAATGTTCTAAGATATAATTCTCCTGCTCAGAGGATATTGTAGATATCGTGCGCTTGTCTTCCTCGTATGGAAGTGACGAGTCCGGGGAAGCCCAGGATTTGGTGTTTGGCCGTTTGCTCATGGCTTTTTTGGATTTGCGACGAGGTTTCTTTGTGATGTCCTCGGGATCGAATTCCTCAATACCCAGGTCGACTAAGCGTTTTAGGATGTGACCCTCTTTCCACTCCCAGGCTTGGCATCCCCCATACTTTTCTTTCATCAGCTTGGCTAAATCCGAATACCGACGTCGGTCAAGTTCTTCGACGGCGCGTTTTAAAGCCTCGTCCTATATACCCAGTTAGCTATCTCATACTAAACGCGCCATTTAAAAGCTCGGTATAACTCATGCTCTTATCGTGTACTCACCTCTTCTGCAGGCCATTCCGCGTATTTTAATACTGCTCGGGTAAGGTTCATTTGTAATGATTCTTGCCGCCTTTTCCCGAAGCGTTCCTCGTATTTCTTTGTTATTTCCTCCCATATGCCCTTCCCTTTATCATTGTCCATTTGACACCTAAGCTCCAGAATGAATCGGTCCTTCTCGGGAGCATCGGGCCTTAAAGTAATACTTCTGCCGAGCGCCTTGGTTGTTGAGGAGGCATCTCCATTTGGCGACGATAGTTGAGGGTCCACGAGATCCTCACCGTCGCGTTTTGAAATTCCTCTGTTCTGAGCTCGCGGCCTCTTCGGGGGTCTGCCTAACCGCCCGGTTCTCGACTTAGACTTTCTCTTGTAAGATGTAAAGTCCATGATGACTTGTGGCTGGTGCACCATACTAGGGTAGTGATGATGCATACCGTCCATTGGTCCAACTGAGGGGCCTAGGTCTCGCGGGTCCGGAGAGTTTTGCAGGACAGGAACTTGAGATGGCGCCGGAAGAGACATATTCGAAGGATGCATAGTAATCGGGGGCCTAACCAAGTCCGTGGGTGCTACCGAGAATAGAGACGGGTGTGTCATATGTGTTGACATTTCCTGTGGAGCTTCGTTGCTGGAAACTGTATACTGGCCCCATTGGAATTGAGGTTCCGATACCATGGGCAAATGGTCGCTGGAAGACTGCGATGAATCTAAGCCCTGCATTTCCATAAGGCCGGCAGGAGCATTTATCTGGTAGTTTGGCCATGGCCTTGAGGTGGTTGGGGGGGTGGGCTGTTGTGAGTTTGCCCGGTGTTGGTATGGATGCATGATCTTCGCAGTTCGTTCATTCATCGAAGGAGATCCAGCAACAGACACCGGGGTAGGAAGGGAAGTATCATATGGCACGGAGTAAGTAAAAGGCGCAACCTAATTAGTTAGTAAACCATTGTATTCTTAATATCGCAAGGAGTTCATGTTTAAATTCGAAAGTTGAAACATACCGAAGCGTAAGTAGTGGGGATATCGTGAGCATATCCAGAACTAGCTGGAGACGCAGCAGACCGTCGGTCTTCAGGCATGTTCGAATCTTGAGATAGACTATGGCGCATGTGGTCTGACCTTGAGTGAACGTATATGCTATCTTCCATCTCAAGACTGATAGTTGGTTATTAGGAAGCAAGTAGCGGTTGGCGACGGTAGAAGAAAAGGCGTAGAATTTGTTGTGAGAACCGGAACCAGTTATCAGGGATGGAGGGACCTTAGTTATTTGTACACAAGGATCGTCGAGTGGCCCACGAAGGTGAGATTACTTAAACTAAGAAATATAAAATCTGCCTTTTGAGGTCCCGGCCAAGCGCGAGGCAAAACAAGGAGACGAAGGGGTATTATAGACAAACTCGGAGCCTTGCCCTCTACGGGTACGGGTGGTCAAGATTGAGGTGGGAACCGGAGAACATATGTACGTCGTTGAAGGTGTTCCTGAAAACTTAGGTACACGCTCGAGTCCCAGGTTGTAGGAATAGCTCCACCATGCACCATAAGTAATGTACAGGGACAGGAATATACTACATGGTACTCTGGAATTATCCACATCTCTCCTCGAGGTACATCCTCGAAAGTCGACATGGGTAAAGTGACCAGGGCAAGTTGCTGGGGGCTTGGGTCTAACCATTACTGGGAGTGGCCCCAGTACTGACGCGTGTGGAGACAAGGTGGGAAGACGCATGAATAGCCGCCGCAATGAGTGTATGTGTAAGGCCATCCATCACTTAGTTTCTTCCCCGATGGGCAAATTGGAAGACACCCCTAGCCGTGCTAACATATTCAAAGATCTCGTCACTCACGTCACTGAAGCAAGTCTATTAGGCGCTTCAAGTACGTTCAAGTAGGGTTACATTGGCCATACCATAGCTGTGGAAATAGAGACATCAAACTCGTAAAGACTTGCCTAAGACTGTAGCTGGTGATAGTAGCGGGGTGACAGATGTGGCAGCTTTGAATGGAACTTTGGTATATCAAAGGAAATACGGGGCTGTAAGGCAGGCGTGAGAATCTCCTATGTAGGGCAAACGTTTTCATGAATACTCCCCGTCAATCTTGGCTTGGAATTGAATACTAAGCGAGGGTGAGGAGAGGTATGTGCCACAGACTGAGAACTTGAGGGGACCGTGTCGAGTACTGTGTTGATGTATAGCCAAGAGTTCAATATCCGTCATGGTACCGGATGTGTACTTGAAGCAAATCAGGTACGAGGTACATCAAAACTTATCGAGTAGGTTACATTTGGTCTGAGCGGGTGTGGACCAGGGTTAGTAAACCCAAGGATATGGCGTTGAAAACATGTGGAAGAGAACATCCCTAAATTGGGAGTCGATTGTAGTCGGTTGTAAGAGGCGGGCTGGCCAGGCCATTTTAGAGATGACGAAAACTTGCCAGGTATCTATCCCTTCAGTTAACAACAAGCTACGACGACGTAAAAAGCGACTATACGCGCAACAAAGTAAACACAAGGAGTCTCTAACTTGTAGAATGTGCCTAGCCTTGTAGTTACCTTTGTCTTTTCTACTGATAAGGCGCGGAACCGAATATACAGAGCCACGTGCGTTAGGTAGTCAATGAATAGGTACACTAGCCACACGAGCTTTTGTAAAAGAGATAACGATCTAAGTGGAAAAGATCTAGGTTAGGTAGAACACCTAAACTACCGATGAGCGCCCGCCGCCACTCTTGTAAGAGTGGGATTGCATCTCTACGCCGATCAGCCAGTCTGCTAAGACCCGAATATAGACCGTGTTCTCTATAACAAGAGGAAAATGAAGTCATATCCTATATGTTCAGATACCTGATCTACACTCGTAGATTGGTTGCTTTCGCGGGTTTGCTTCGTCATTTCCCTTCGCCCGTGCTATGGTTTGAGGGGAAGTCGAGAAACGTAGATGAACGAATTAAAAGAAAAGACAAGGTATAGGTTTTCGATTCGAGACGTTCTTACTACGCCTCACTCGGAATCTCCAGGCAGGAAAAAAAGCGATGCAAAGCATCAGATAGGCCAATGTTTGAATTGCAGCGAAGAGCCGCAATTCACCCCGTGATGAATCATGCCGGCGACCCCATTTGATGGCTCTAACTATTTCTTGCAGAAGGGAAAAAAGGGTCTGCCCTAGTTTAGGAGGTAGCCTCTTGCAACGGCGAGGGTTCATCCAGTTTGTAATTAGTTAGAAAGCGAGAGGCTTCAATCGTCTGTTACATCGTCGCTAGGCAGATAGGAAATCTGCCCGGCCACGGTGCGGCCCATTCCTCGACCGTGGTGGATATCGCGAGTCGACATCTGGCTGTGGCTCATCGCCTCAGAGTTCTAATCCACGAGGGCTCAAACTACTATGTAAAATCGAGGGCCTCGGGATACATCATCCGCGAAGGAAATAGAAATTATCTCCCTCGGCCGAAGAGCCATCAAACGGTTAACGGGTGAACCTCAAGCCGAGACGGTGAGCAAGCAAGTTGAAATTTGGAATTCCTATGTACAATACGCACGAGTGATCCCTTAGGGAATTTGGGGGCCCTTTATTGGAGAATAGAAAATGGAGAATGGAGAGGAGACAAGGGTATAGAGTGTGAGACGATTCGATGTTCGAATCGGGTGAGTTAGGATGTGGGATGTGGACTTGCGGGTAGGTCCCATACCCATCCCATACCCATGAGAAGTTCAGATAATAGTACAATGTAGAATAGAACTTTGTAAGAAGGGGGGTGATTGAACTGGAAACTGGGGCATGTTGAATTATGGGCTGAGTTGATGCAAAAAATGGGGGCACAGTGCACCCCCCGTTGCCCCACACCGCCTAGCAGAAAAGAGAGTATCGTACCTGCTGTAAGTATATAAGTGTGTGTGTATTTGATAGTTACAGTGGGCCTTTTCCACCTCATTTGAATACATACCCAAGGTAGTTCAAGATAGGTAGTACAAAGTATATGTAATAATATGTAACAATAATATCATAATAAAATAATGACAATAATAAGTCGGCCAATCGCGGCATCTTGTAAAAAAGAGAGGTACCTCTCCAATGCATAAAAGTCGAATGTTACAAAGGTATGTAGCCATGACCCAATGCCTGTAAATGCCCGTAAAATGCTTTTTCGGTATCGGTATCTTACTAAGTACGTCGTCGTAGACGTCGTCGAACGAATTGTTTATATATACTTCGCATATATCTACCTAACCTACGTGTACTACTTTGGAGCCGTCTACCGTCACACAGGCCCACAAGCAGGGGAAATCGTCCCTAAGATGCCATTATACAGATCCGCTAGATAAACTATTCAATTCTGATCCAACAATATAAGGTTATTAGCGCTATTCGTGGGTACGCTAACAAGCCGTTGCACGTGTACGACATGTAATAAACGACTAGGAACAGGTTGTATGTAATTTGTAGGTACCTAGGTAGGTACCTAGTTATACATAAACTCAAGACGACGGCACGATGTGCGGTGGCATTGTCGATAAGGAGGGGGTCCTTCATCATATTCGAGTACTTTATTATTATTATTATTTTTAATCGGGTCTCGGGTGATAAAAAGCTCGATGGGAATTTCAAGACATAGCCCCCAAATGGTAGGTAATGGTAGGTTGACATACCCTGTCTCTCGCTACCTAGTACAGTCCCGGGTACATAGGTACATGTTTATTCGGGAGTGATAATTCGTCCCGCATAGCATTCGGCAACTTTGGCTACCGGCGGAGACACGACGGTAGGCAAAGAAAAATGTGGGAAAGAATCTCCTCCCCCCGATCATTCCCCTCATAGCCGATGGCTTATACAACGTTATGCAACCCGGCGGTAGGACGAAGATGATGTGTTGTCGGTACCGACTGTACGGGACGCGCAGCATTGAATGGATAATAAAGCTGCAATCCCTATGGGTAGTTTGCGCAGTATGCGCTCCATTGCTGACTCGGCGCTGATGTACGAGTGTCAAGCAAGAACCCAAGAGAGAAAGCGGGTGGCTTGATGGTGCAGTGGATGCAAAGAGATTGTGACATGCCGACGGGACATCGACCAAATGACGGCAAGCCGGAGGGGACGGATGAAGGGTCCCATAAGGTCATCGAATGGGGAATACCTTACATACCACATGCATACCACGTACATACCTGGTCCTTTTTTTTTTTTTGATGTACCCGACTTACAGCCCGCAAGGCTGCACAAGTACCTACATGTTCAGGGAACTTTATTAGCAACAGTGCGAACAAATAGTGATGTGGATACCAAGATAGGTAGGCTGGGCGGGGTGAAAGGTGGGTCATGTTGCAAAGTCAAGCGCTTAGCGCCTAAACCAAGGTGGCACTGCACATTGACCAGGCTCACCGCGGGTTCTTAGTGGCTAATCTCACACTAACCTCGCACCAAATATTAGTCGTTCCAGTCTGTCGGTAACCAATCAGATCCGGCCACACACCTCTCCCATACGAAGTCGAGGCAGCCTCGGTACCATCGCAGTATTATGATTATGTCAATGCTCTGCCCGCCTCTGCCCGCCTCTGCCATGTCCGAAGGCTACGTGACGCTGACTTGACATATAAGGATTATGGATTATATACGCATGTAAGTAATATCACGTAGCATAAATTAACTAGAATTGATGCCAAGCGCTGTTTCCTGCCGAATAATTCGCTGGGCTTCGAATGTCGGTCGGCCCGTCATCCCATCGTTTACAGGCAGCGATAAGGGTGTGCGCGTAACAGAACGTCAGCACCTTAATTGGAGGCTTAAGTCACTCGGCATATGTTGTAGCGATCATGAAGGCTCTATGTCCCTGGTTTTTCTAAACGATAGGGCTGAGCAAAATGTATATGTGCGAGTTCGTATGGTAACTAACAATAACTAACAACCCGCGGTCCGGTCCGAATATAGAAAAGACCTATTGGTTTACAACCCCCGTGTTTGTCCCCCCTCATTGGATCAGCCCTACCAAGGGAGATCAGTGTTTAGGCGACCAGTTTATACGAAAGTAATCGCCGGCTGAGTCCATTTTACGCAACATACTTATTTATTCAGCTTGCGACTAACCACGA